TGAATTCACTACGTAGTCTAGACTGGCCTTGAACTCACGACAATTCTCCTGCCTCAGCCTCCCAAGTCCTGGGATTGTAGGCATAGGCCACCATGCCTAGCCAATTATATTTTATTTTATATAAAATCCAGTTTTCTCAATATTATGTGTTAAAGATACTATCCTTTTCCACTTTTTATTCTTGCCACCTTGTCAAAGAACTGTTGACTAAAAATACATGGACTTATTTCTAGCCTGTCTATTTTGTTCAACAGATCTATTAGTCTTTTTGCCAGTACCATAGTTGTTTCATAACTCAACAAAGTTACAGTTTTGAAATGTATTTTGAAATAAGAAAGCACAATGCTTCCACTTCTGCTCTTCTTTTTCAATGTTGACTTTTTGGGGAGGGTACTGGGGACTGAACTTGGGACCTTCCGCTTGCAAGGCAGGCTGTGGAACCACTGAGCTAAATCCCCGGCCCTTGACTTAGTTATTTAAAGTCTTTTTTAGTTTCACATGAATGTTAGAACTGTTTCTTTCTATTTCTGTAAAAAACTGTTCTTGGGATTTTGATGGACATTTCACTGAATCTGTAGATGGCTTTAGATACTGTGGATATTTTAACAACATAACTTTTCTAACTTATGAATGTAAGATCTCTTCCCATTGTTTGTGACTTAATTTATTTCATCAGTATTTGTAGTTTGCAATATACAAATCTTGTACTTGCTTAGCTAAGTTTATGCCTAAGTATTTTATTAGGTATGGTGCTATCATAAGCAGGATTCTTTTCTTAATTTCCTTTTCAAGTAGTTCATTGTTAACATATAGAAAAACAATTAACTCTTAATGATGAGTTTTGTATCCTGAGACTGCACTGCTTCAATTATTAGTTCTCACTGTTTATTTTTGCTGTCTCCTGGTTGTCTCTATACAAGATCATGTCACTTGCAGCAGAAGCAATTTAACTTCTTGCTTTCTGATTTGTGTGCATTGACCCATTGGAGCTCCAAGACTGGCGTGACAGGTGGCTGTTCTTGGGGCAGCCATGAAGAAGTTGGGGGCCCGCACACAGACATCAACTCTTCTCCTCCCCAGAGTAGCTGAGAGCTAGAACTTTTGCCTCCTGGCTCTATATTGAGTGTGGGGGAGGATGATGCCATTGACAAGATAAGCTTTTGTTCTCCATGGGAGCCCAAGACCAACAGGACAAGCCAGGCCCCTGGGGACCTCCATTGAAAGAGCTGGGGTGCTGGAAGTACACCCCACCTTTACTTCCCCCTAGAGAAGGTGGTAGTTGGTGGTTCTTTTCCTGATAATATGATGCAGTGGTGGGTGTAGAGACTTTTAGTGAGAGCATATCCCAAATCTTGCTCTTGGATTTGCATCTAGCTTATTGTTTGCCTGGGATCTGGGTCCTTTTGATTTGTTTTTGGATTTCTCACAAAAGAAAGGTGTCCATGAATTGTATCTAAATTGTATGCTTAAGTGGGGAAGAAGGTCTGGGCCTTCCTACTGTGTCATCTTGCCAGTATTATCCTTCATCAACACTTATTCTCTACTTCTTGTTCTGCCATTTGGGGGAGGGAATATAGATAACAGGAAACTTTAAGCTATTTCCTCACCTTTTTCCCACTATTAACATAAAACAATTTTAGATCTTGGTATGGTGTTTTATTTGAGAATAGTTCAGCTATCTGTTCTAAAGCCATGAATGCCGAGGTAGGTCTGTTGTGCACTTAGATTTTATGTAGTAGTTTAGCTGGCTACTGTAACTGAATTATGATACTAATTTCATTTAACGTTTTGAAAATATTACTCCATCATACTCTAGCAGCAATTGCTGCTATTGAAAAAATCTCATGGCAATTGGAATTCAGTTTCTTTAGAAGGGATATGATTTTTCTGCTCATAAACTTAAACAATTTTATTTATCTAGGATATTTTTAAGATTCAGTACAAATATGCCAAAATGAAGGTTCTATCTCTGTTTGGCAATTCGTAAGTATTTGAGACTTCTTTTCTTTTGCTAATTTTGAAAAGTATTTTTTTTTCTTAAAAGTATTTTTCCTTTCATGTATTTTTGTTTTTATTTTTTTCCTTCACGCACTCTTGATTGAAAGAGCATCAGGTTGGTTCTTCTAATTCCATCATCTGTATCTCTTAGCTGTTCTTAAATGTTACCTTTCTTTCTTTTTAGAAACTCCTCCCTGATAGTTTCTGTGATTTTTAAGCTAACTTATTCGGACCTTTTAAAAGTCAGTCCACTGTAAGCTGGGTGTGGTGGAACATGCCTATAATCCCAGCACTGGGGAGGCTCAGGCAGGAGGATCTCTATGAGTTTGAGACCAGCCTGGGCTACACAGTGAGTTTCAGAGCAGTCTAAACTACATAGTGAGACCCTGTCTCAAAAAAACAAAACAAAAAAAAAAAAAAGTCATTCCACTGTATTTCTTTTGTTATTCAGCTCACCTGCTACATTTTTATTTGAACAATTATTTTCTTTGTACCTAGTACTAACAATTGGTTCTTCTTTATGTCTGGTTTTCTGCTTCATTTCTAATAACCTATAAATGTCCTCCCTAACCACTTTTATGATATTTATTGATCTTATTTTAAATGCTTGTTCTTTGAGACCTATTTTGTTTATTTGTTATAGATCGTTCAGTATATTGCCCTTTTATTGCAATTGTGTTTCTCAGATGTCTTATTATTTTTTCTAGGTAACAACTATTGCTCTAGGATTATTAAAATATTCCACAAAACATTTACTGGGAGAAAGTTGAAAGCCCAGACCAAAGCTGATGCCCCTGCTGATGAGTATAGTGGTGTTGGAGATAGAGTATTTCTCAGCAGTAAGCCTGCTGGTTTGCTCTCTTGACCCAGCTACTGTATATTTGCCTCATTTACTTTCTTACAAGATGGCCCTGAATCTCAGGTACTCTTCCTCGCCTTCTGCCAGAGGTTCTAGTCTTCTCAATTAAAAGCTTTCTATAATCATTTAGTCCTAGGAATGTGCAGATTATATTTGAGCAAGGGATGGCCACTCTCCTAATCTCTCTGGGTTTATCTCACACATAGCCCATATTGGGTGTGGCTAATTTTCAGGCTTTCAGTAGTATTGCATTGGAGAATTAGTCTTCCAGGGCCACAGGCAGAAGAAAAACAATATAATAAGCAGTTCTTTAGCCTATTCTTTCATGAGATGCTCATTAGATGTAATATTCATCTCTCCTAACAAACAGAAGGATGAAATGATCTTGTTTCTCCCAAAGTCTCTTCCTGTTCTTACTTTAGCGTCTTAGATCTAGATTCGTATTCTGCTTCTGGGGTATCGCTGGCATTAGGTTTGACAATTAGACAGGCATAGGCATTGGCAAAGGGTCATGAGGTTTTTCAGGGAAGAAGCAAAGATAGCAAACAAGGACTGATGAACTCAGAGTATACCAGCAGGTTAAACCCATCACACCAAGTAAATCTTTGAAGCAGCACAAGCTGGGTTTTGACTTTAGATTATCTCCCAGTATAGAAGTTAATTCATAATTTTGTCAGAAGCCAAATACTGTTCCATTTAAGTTATAGAGATGTTTTCTGCCTTCCATTAACAAATGTAGTGACGTGAAATGGCTCAGCATCATACACAACATTAAGAATCTTGGGGGAAAATACTCTAAGACTAAAAATGTTATTAAAGTTTAACTTATCTCAAAAGCAATAAAAGTAATCACCTGTGACAAAGAATATAGGAACATCTAAGTTCAGATGCATGGAATAAAATTATTACATATGATACCATTGATCCATCAGTACAATCTTTATTATTTTATCTCTTCCTCAGCTGTATTGCACGAAGGATAAATATGTGCGTAAGACTTGTAGGCAGTTGCTGGATGCACTAACTGACAATGTCCTTGGACTCCTGGTACATCTAGATCCAATCCTATGTAGCAGCTAAATTCTGCCACAGAAAGATTCAGAATATTTTATAGGACACAATATTATGGGACACAGTTGTTGATTGTGTGTGTGTGTGTGTGTGTGTGTGTGTGTGTGTGTGTGCTAGGCTGCACTTAAGAAATCTTTTGGCTACTGCTAACCCCTAAGCATGAGAAAGGGCAGGTGACACTTACTGCTCAGCAGTTTACCCTTCCTGCTTGCCATGCGGCCTATCTCGAATACATGCATCTTTATTATCTCCCTCCCCGATAATATGCGTCAAAGGCACTGCAGCATGCCTGCAGCCTCCAGAAAGCCAGGAAAAGGACATACAGCAAACCATTCCATGATGGAAAACAGAATTTACCACCTGCGTAGCTTTAGGTCTGTGGGGAGATAAGGATTTGTAAATTTGTACATAGTGCCAAAGAAAGCAAATTGTTCTGCCGAGAGGAAGATGGTATTAACCTTTCCACAAAGTTTAATGTGAGGGGAAGCAAGGCCATGGGGGTATGCACTCTTACTCTTCTTTTTGTGGTTGCGTCTGTGTCAGAATGGCTGTAATAGCAGGCCTCAGGTGGCTCTAGGGGAAACTGTAGAAGCTTTAGGCCTCTTTTCTCTCTTTCTCCCTTCTTCCTCCCTTCCCTCTTCTCTCTTTTACGTTAAAAGACCTCATTCTCTCTTTTCCTGTGTCTCTTAAATCTAAAAATGATGAAAAGAAAGAAGGAAGGAAGGGACTGAAGGAGGAAACAGTATAGAAAGGAAGGAGAGGAGTAAATGAATTTTTGTAATGAGAATTGCCTTTTTTCAGAAGAAGTTTAAGACGATGCCTTGGTAATAAATACAGTATGTTTTGCTTACTGCCATTTTCTGGTTTCACTTCTGTGGTCCCATATTCATGGACAAAATTTGATGGAACTATAAAAAAAGCCACACTAATGGCAAGGCATGAAAGGGTGCCCAAGAAAAGAAGAGCATTTGTAGCCTTTCTGCAGTTGGCTCCTCTCACATTGGAATTCTCAGTCCGTCGCAATGCTCTGCTTCTTCATACTAACTCTAGGCTCGGCAACTGGCCCACCTACCTTTCCTTGCAAGGTGCACAGCTTCTGCATGCTCCGCACCGGCGACCTCGGTGCCGTTGACAGACAGTACCACGTCTCCAGCCTGGAGCCCGGCTTCCTCGGCAGCGCTGTCTGCAAGACAGACAGAAACAGTTTTATTGAGGGAGGGTTGCAAATGGAGTGTCCTGCTGCTTGTACTCTTTCAAAAAGGCTCTTTCTGTAGAGGGCCTTTCTTTCCAACTTTAGACAATGGCTGTGTCATTAATAAGACTGAAAACGCTGTCCTTCCAGCCTTCTTTTCATTTCCAGGACTCACACATTCAGCCAGGCATCCGAGCGGCCCCTTTGCAATATAATAGCAAAGCTTCTCAGAAACTCAATCTATTCATCCACCAGAAGGTTGAACTGCTAGTTCTCATTCGCTCTTTGCTGCTAGGTCTCTTTGTAACCCTGAGAAAATCACTTAACCTCAATATCTTCATCTATAAAAAGAGGGGTGGGGGCAGAGCGTCTCTGCAGGATTGTTGCACGAACAAGTAATTGAAATACTTATGAAGTTGGGACAAAAACAGATCTCGGAGTAGTCAGAGAAAAAAGAAATAAAGAGCTGTTTTTACTTTCATTGTGCAGGCTTCTTTCTGAGCCATTTCTGAAAAGAAATCAAAAGTAGCCCAGGCTTTAGGAAGAAGTCTGTGCAAGATGGGTAGAAACTTCCTAGAAGTTATTTATTTTATCCTTTGAATTTCTAGCACCTGCACTTAAGGCAACGTATCTAATATTCTCTAGGGGTAAAAAAGAATGCAATAAGATATTTCAAGGTTAATGCATTTTTAATAAGTTCTCTCATGTATTTGACCAAAATCCTTCTTGCAGAAGTTTAACTACATTTCTTTCTTTCTTTTCTTTTTTGTTTTTGTTTTTGGTTTCAGTTTAACCCACTTCCTATTTATTAGATCTCAGGGTTGGTTGCATATGTACAGCTCATGGACTTGCAGAATGGTACGCAGTAACATCAGGCTTTTATTACCTAGAATGTCACAAGCCTCCTCAAATAATTCTAATCTTAAAGCACCACTCAGTTGGTAAAATAACATGATGTGAAATACTTTTAATAATTACTAAAATCGTCTAAGCCTGCTCATAATATTAGGGGAGGCCTTCCCTGATTGGTATGCAGTGGCCCACCAATATAAGAAGGTAGGTAAGGAGTAATAATTGATACTTTCACATAGTTACATAGCATAGTGCTTGCAATGAATACAGTCTTATGTTGTGGTTGATCATGGAAATCTATTCCTCCATAATCTTAAAGGAATTAAAGCACTTGCTCAGGGCCATGTCTCTGGATCAAACTCAAACATGACAGACTAGGTCCAGAGTGATTTTTTAAAATTAATTTTTGTATTCTCTATGCTACCAATAAGTAAGTCTTATACATAAAGGTCTTCACATAAGTACATATTGAAGGAACTAATGAATATGCCCAAAATTATATGTCACGATTTCTATCTTCAAGACCCTTCAGACTTCAAGAAAGAAAAGACATTCATAACCAAAAAGAAAAATGCATTTGTAATACAGACAGTGAACTAAAAAGGAAAAGGGTATGGCAAAACTTTGGAAAAGGAAATTTTCCTTCTCATTTGAAGCGGTCAAAAACTGTTTTCCAGAGAATCCAAAACTGGTCTAACTCCGATGAATACGTAGATTCTCCGCAGTAGTAGAGGGGCAGAGTGGCAGAGACTGCTAGGTGCTCACAAACACCGCTTCTCTTCTGCCTGGAGTCAGAGACAGTTTTTCTCAGACGCCTTTACAGGTGGGCACGCAACAGGAGTGAGTTCTAGCCCTTGGAATGTGAATGCAGGTTAAGTCAAAGGCTGCTCCATAAGAACATCCCCAGGGCCACCCCTTTGTTCTCTTTTTCCATCTGCCTGCCAGATAGAGATGATTTCAAAACGTCAGAGGATAAAGATTCACAAGGAAAAAGAAGCCTGAATCATAAACAGGATGCTGAGTAGAATCACCTTCCAATCAAGAACATCCACACGAGACTATTAATGTGACTAATGAGCTTTGCTTCCTCTTAGATCATTGTTTTTTGTTGCCAAAGCTAATACAATCTGAAACAATCAGCAAGCCAAGAAAGAATTATGAGAAAAAGTATGGAAATAAAATGCTTTAAGATAGGACAAAAAAGTTAGTAATTCAGATCAACCGGAGGACGTGCTGTGGCTAAATGGGGTTGGCAGTGAAGGTAAGGCAGGAAGGAAAACCAAAGTATGAAAAGGGTCTTGAAAATGAAGATGAAGAATTGACACTTGATCCATCTACAACAGAAGCATTAAAGATTGCGAGCAGTAAATAGATATGAGTGGTTCTAAAGAAGATTGATTTAGAATGGGGAGAGATTAAGTAAAGCTAATAAGCATGTTTTTTTACTGGACTTTATTATTAGTTGACTGCACTCGTGTGCATACCTGTCTATTTACTGGGAATGGACCATAAGCGCTTAAAGTACATTTCTTGAGCTTATAACCTCAGACAATTGGTAGAGGATCTTTAAAGATTGGCTGAATATATGTGTTTGCTTTGAGATAGTGAGACAACCGTGCAAGAGAAAATTTTATAGTTTTTATTGGAATGATGAAAAAATATGTTTAAAGCCAAAGCTTGAGAAATGGATTCAGAATTCATAGCCAAAAGGACAAATGTAAGGATAAAAATGCAGAGCACTGAAAACAAAATGTTGATGAGTAACTGCCTTTAGGAAGAGGGGAAAAACAAAGAATAAGGAGGAACACTGAGAAGGAGCAGATAGATTCTAGACAGCATGGTTTCAAGACTATAAAATCAATGGAGCCAGAATCTCAACATGAGGAGAATAATATTTGCTCTATAACAAGGCCATGAAAGTAACTGTAATAATAGCATTTCTAATTTTAGTCTGTTCAAGCAGTGGTGAAAAACAAGGACTGAGGAAATTATATTTGGAGATGGGAAAGTAAATAATATAGAACTTTAATGATAATGGAAGTAGAAGGAAATATTTGAGCATTTGTGCTAATCGATATGTTAAATGACTGACCAAAGTTATACATTACTAGAATCAAACATATGTTTCTAGTAATGAGTTGTCTCTCTTAAGTAAAATTTGATTTTAAACAATTATATATATACTTTTTTGTTTTATTTTGTTTTTATTTTTGGTTTTTTGAGACAGGGTCTCACTATGTAGTTGAGACTGACCTAGAACTCACTATGTAGCCCAGGCTGGTCTCATACTCACAACAATCCTCCTGCCTCTGCCTCCCGATTACAGCCATAATCTGCTGGGATTACAGGTGTGTGCCACCACGCCCAGCTGAACAATTATATATTTACTGAAGGGATCTAGCAATATGAAAATAATTATTTACAAATATGTTAAAGTCAAGGACTAAAGTAAAATCCTTTGGATATTTTTTTGTTACCTCACAGGACTGGTTGTATTTTGGGAATGGAATTGTTCGGTTGATATCTTGGAGAGTATGCTGATGGCATATATGGGGCTTGCAGAGGGAGAAGCATTCTTTGATTGACAAGTGAGTTCACATTGTCTAGCTCTTGTTTCATATGTCCATTTAGGTTAACATTGCTGGGTATTAAAGGATAAGTCCTAACACCTAATTTACAGGGCAATTAGCAAGTGATCCCAATGTAAATATTATTTTGATGGATTTTAAGAACTACTGCCTTCTGGAAGTGATCTTTCTTACAGCCATCTCTTGGGGCTACACATGGTCTTGAAATTAGTCACTGAGTGGTGAAGAGGGAAAGAGAGGCGGAGGGGAAGGGTTCTTTGCGGGAAGATGGTTTAAGGTTATAATTGGGTTATAGATGAATTTTTTGGTGAAGTACTTGGGTTTATTGTGCACAAAATTTATACTGTACTATATAATATCTGAGCTTTATAGATGTCCTGAGCTAACGATGTATGATAAAAAGTAGAGCTAGTGAGTTAGCCAGATTGTAAAATCTTTTTGTTACCATTGACAGAAAAGGTGCATCTTGGACTTAGAGTTGTTAATACCACTTCTGGGCAGTAATCAGGACTTGTCCATAGGCCAGCAGCAGAAGGGAAGAAAGTATACAAGCAGAGACGGGTGAAAAGTGTTCAGATTTATATTCTGGTGGGAGCCATTGGGGAGTGTGTGTGTGTGTGTGTGTGTGTGTGTGTGTGTGTGTGTGCGTGTGTGTGTGTTCTGGCTTCACTATAGCAAAATGTTAGTAATTTAGTGACAACATACCTTCTTACTAATATTTTAGTAGTAGAGATCTGATAACTTGGAAACATGGTGTAGGCTGTTGCTTTATGTTTCACTTTCAATTGAGCATTAAGGGAATGCAGTATTTTAATTGTAATACTGCCAACATTTCTATCTAGATGTCTGTTAGCATTTATGTCTTCCAAGACATTTTTTTCTCCAAAATGGCAGAATTATAATTTTGTTCTAACAGACTGAATTGGTGTAATATATACTTGGTTATTAAAAAATACTTTTGTATCTCTTGGAGTTTGAATTAGAGAATATTCATGTTGTATAGAAAAAGCATAACATACATGTTCAATCTCAGTCACACAGAATAGCAAGTGTGTATGTACCTGCAGGACACAGAAGGGCACACCTAACTAAGCTGCTTATGATCATGAATTTGTTCCTTGCTTCTTGTGTTTCTGTTTCCTGTAATGCACCAAACTACAAACGTTTTTAATGAGATACGATTCACCTACCTCATTCGTCACTCATGAAATTGTGCAGTTCAATTAGGTTTTTATTTGTTCATGGAGTTGTGACACCATCACCACAATCTACTACATATTGGAACATTGTTGTCACTCCAAAAATGCTATAGGTGATAACAGGCACTTCCTGTTTCCCCAGCTGCTCATTCCCAGGACATCATTAATCTACTTTATGTCTCTATGTGCTTGCCTACTGCGGACATTTCCTAGAAATGGAATTATAAAAAGATGTTGTCTTCTATGTCTGGCTTTATTCACTTATCAGAATGTTTTCAAGATTCATCTGTTTTAACCTGTAATCTATTCCCGTTCATTGATGAACAATATTTCATTGTAAGGATATGGCGTG